GAGAGTCGGCATTGATCCGCTGCCTCCTGCACGCCCCCAACTGGGGATCGAGCCCGCAACCCGGGCATGTGCCCTGACCGGGAATCGACCGCCATCTCCTGGATCCTAGGTCGATGCTCAACCGCTGAGCTACGCCCAAAGCTTTTGTGAAGCTCTCCTCACCCTTAATTGCCGCCAGGCGGGCATTCTCGGTCCTCGGGTCCCCCTTGTGGCGCAGCATCACCACCGCACTGAGCGGAGGTCGCGGGGTTGGCCGTTTCCACGCGGCAATGTCCGCGGCGGTCCTGCGAATCCACTGGAAGATCGCGACCTCGTTCGCACCAACGTCCCGCTTGGTGTCACACCGAGACCTCCAGCCAGTGCAGCACATAGATCGCTCAGAATGTCTCCGTACAAATTTCACATAACAGGAACATCCGATTGGGACGGATCTTAGACCGTATTCAAACATGCGGTACCTTGGTTTTCGAACGTTTCCGAACCCGAACGGTCTTCCGGATCGGATTACATTCGGAAACTGAGTTACTACGGTATCAAGGTACATCTCACTACACTTAACGTCTTTACAGTTTTCGGGCAACTTCCCTGCATTTTTGCAGAAAAAGCCCATCTGACATTCGTCTGATGTTGGCTTTGTGCACGACGGTGACATTGCTTTGGTGATTGCTCCGGGTGTACTCAAAGGCGAACCCCGCGACGCACCGGCTCGCCCGCGGTGATGAGCTTGATGCTTGCACAGCTCCGTCCACGATCACACGCTCCGTTTCAGTACTGTCCTCTCCTTCTGTCTGCTCTCGAATGTAAGGGGTTTATAGCCTGTAATTGAGACACGTGGTTGGATATTTGCATAAAGGTTGAAGGTTTTGCGTCGCAATAAAGTCATGGGTGGGTGCCCAGCTGCTACTGGGGCCTCTGAAGGGCCTTTCAGGTCCCCTTTGCTCTTGTCCATGGACTCTTTGGCTTCCGGAGGGATCATCCACCCTCCTCCAGGTCCTAGAAGGGCAGTGACATTCCGCTCCTCCCACCGAATGGACGCTTCGGTAGCATCAAAAATCTTCACCACTGCGGCTGAAATTTCTGGCCAGTACCATGCCCTGGAATTAACGTAACAGTCTGAACACCCCCAGCAGAAGCCGCGGCCACCTGTTCTGAGTTGTAGAATGCTCCCCGCAGCCGGACCTTGGGGCTTCTACGCCGGCCCCGCCTTCGCGCCTCTCTGATCGCCATGGCGACGGCGCGGCTCCCGGGCACAGCCGCTCTAAACTCACTTTTAAGCAATCATTTGGGAGAAGACAATTTAGTGGGCAGGAAAGAAATTAGTAAATTAAAACCCAGCCCAGCCGGTGTGGCTCAGCGGTTGAGCATTGACCAGGAGATCGCCATTGGATTCCCGGGTTAGGGGCTCGATCCCCAGCAGGGGGCGCGCAGGAGGCAGCCGATCAATGACTCTCTGATCATTGATGTTTCTATCTTCCTCTCTTCCTCTCCCTTCCTCTCTCTGAAATCAATAAAAACATATTAAAACCAAAACCAAAGCCAGAAGGATAGTATAATTGGAAAATAACTATTAAAGCTCATTATTTGAAAAGTCCAATAAAATAGAGGTTTTTGGTAAAAAGTGTGAGGAAAAAGAAAAGGAAAAATACACCACACCCAGAATGAGAAAGAAGATATAACCTCGAATACCAGATTTTAAATTATAATGAAAAAGTTTAATGCATGAAAAAAAAGCTTCACAAAAATATATGTAAGTCAAGAATAGATAGAATAAAAGAAGTAGAATAATTGTAACTAGAATAACCATGGCAGAAATTGAAAACATTAAGAACTATGTTATAAAAGAAACTGCATGAGAAAGTTTTACAGGTGAATTCTACAAGCTTAAGGCTCAGATAGTTTTCATGCTATTTACTCTCATCTAACACATAGAAAAAGTTTAAAAATTTGCCACCTTATTTGGTAAAATTGGCATAGCTCTAATAGTAAACTTAACAATGGTAGAACACAATCCTAAATAAATTACAAGCAAATTGAATTTGGAAATATATTTTAATACATATTTTTTTACCAAGCAGAGTTTGTCAAGAAGCAGTATAGTGATTTCAGAGAACAGACTGTGGAGCCAGGTAGTCTTGGAACAGGTTTGTACCTTGAGATGAATGTGAGAGCTGTATGGCTTTGTTCAGCCTATTTAATCTCTGTACCTCAGTTTCCTCATCCATAAAATGGGGTGTAGGGTAGTACCAATTTTGTACTACCAGTTGTAAAGATTAAAAGTTAATCATTACATTTATTACAGCACCTGGCTTGTAACAAGCACTCAAAAATATTAATTGTTCTTATTTCCTATACTTGGGAATGTATTGTTTGTATTAGTAAGTTAAAGGAGAAAAGCCATTAGATAATCTTGTTAGATACCAAAGATATTTTGATAAAATTTTATCTTAATATATGATTTAGAAAAATCTTTTAGCACATAATAAAAAGATACTTTTGAAGGGTGCTGGGTGGAGGTGGGCAAAGGATAGGAAAATGGGAGACATCTGTAATAGTGTCAACAATAAAAAAAGGAGATACTTTATTAAGATGATAAAGAAGCTCCATCTGAAGTCAAGGGTGCCTATTATCACCAGTTTTTCCTTAACGTTGTCAAGAGGAAGAGAGCCCTTGCAGGTTTTGCTCAGTGGATAGAGCGCTGGCCCATGGACCGAAGGGTCCCTGATTTGACTCTGGCCAAGGGCACGTACCTCATTTGCAGGCTTGATCCCCGGCCCAGGTTGGGGCGCATGCAGGAGGCTCCAGGTATTTACTGTGTGAGATGGGGAGTCAATGCAGTATTTTGTGCATAAGGAAGACAAGGTCTGATCTACCTTTTAGGCAAAGGTGGGGCTGCAGTGTGGACTGCAGCTGGAATGGGAGCAGGGTCATCATTCTATGTGCTCCTGAGAAAACAACTAGAGTGAATGGATGGAAGGGGCTGATTTCTCTAACTAAATGATCCCAGTTGACTGACTGTCCATCAGTGAAACTGGCTGGGAGTTACACTCAGCAGCTTGTCACCAGCAGTTCTCACAGATGCCAGGGATGTTGACACTGGGAAGTTTCTACCTTGGGTAGGCATTATACCCTATGACACCCCAGAAGCCTTCCAATGGGGAGTGTGATTCCATAGGATGCATCAACTCAGTCTTCCCAGGTTTATTTTATTTTTTATTTTTTAAAGATTGTTTTAATTGCTATTTAGAGAGTGGAGGGGAGGGAGAGGGAGAGAGCAAGAGAAACATTAATGTGAGAGCAGAACATTGATTGACGGCCTCCTGCACACCCCCACCTGGGATGGAGCCTGCAACCCGGGCCTGTGCCCTGCCCAGGAATCAAATTAGCAACCTTCTGGTGCACGGGATGATTCCCAACCACCTGAGCCACACTGGCCAGGGCTCCCCAGTTTGCAATACAGCTCCCTGATTGTAATGGTTTTGTCCATTGTGTTCACTGCTTTATTCCTGGCCTTGAACAGTGTCAAGAATATAATAGGCTCTCAGTGTTTGTTAAATGTGTGAGTGTCTCAGTTAAACTTACTGCAGGACCTTAAGCCATGTGCTTTCCTTCTCTGTGTGTCGGAGAATTAAAAAGTTGGGTTGGAGGCCCTCCGATGACCTTTCTAGGTCTGNGGTGTTTGGGGGGGCAATTGGAGGGGGGTTTTGCATCATTGATGGGCTAGCGCAAACCTGATTTAAGGAGGAGTTGGGGACTAGGGAACTCTCTGAAAATAAATGTGAATTGTGTCTTTGAGATGTCAGGGTTGTAATTCCAGCAAGGGGTATTTTACTAAGGCTGAGGGTACAGGATACTGAAGACCCATCCCAAGCATGTTGCCTTTGCCTCCTTTGAGTCAGCCTGGTCAACAAAGTGTTCACAGTCCCTGAGGCTCTCTGGGGGAAAACAGCATAAATAGCAGGAGGGACTCCTTTTAAATGTATGGAATCGCATTTTTTCCTTTTATTTTTATTTTTACTGTCGAACGTATTACAGATGTCCCCTTTTTCCCCCTTTGACCCCCTCCACCCCACACCCACCCTACATTTTTCTTTTTTTTTAAATTTATCTTTATTGAAAGTATTACAGATGTCCTTCTCTTTGCCCTTTTGATCCCCTCCACCCTCCACCCACCCTACATTTTTCTTTTTCTTTTTAACAGTCTTATATTTATTGCTGAAAGTATTACAGATATCCCCATTTTGACCCCCTCCACCCCACACCTACCCTACTTTTTTTTTCTCTTGATGAAGTTCCCAAAACACAAAATATCTTTAAAGAAAGAGTTTCAGCAATTTCATGTCCCCCTGAGGTTTGGCAGGATTGCCAACGTCAACAGGTGGGCTGAGTGGGCCCAGATTTGCTACCAGATAAGCCAATGAGATAGGCTGTCATATTTATTGAATATAGAAGAAAATATAAAAAGATGCACACTTGGTAATTTTGCAATATCTTTATTATGTAGTTAAATGTAATTTATTTTGAATAAGACAGAGTCTTTTCAATGCCAATTAGCATGCATATGTTTGGTTTTCATGCATTCCTCCAATTGATTTTATGATAAATTTAAAGAAGTAGGTAGGGTTCAGCTTCATGGTGATCTAGGAGAAAAAAACCAACAGTTAGGATTTAGTTACTTAGTAATTGTGTGTACTGACATTTATTATCTCATTTACTCTTTGTATTAATACTGGGAAGTGGTTGCTTTTGTTGCCTCAATTTACAGATGGGGAAACTAAGACTCAGAAGGTATCTGGTCTATGGTTATAGTGATAGTAGAGGGCAAACACAGTTCTTGACCCCAGGTGCCTGCTGGGAATTCAGATGTACACAGCATTATAGTGTATAGTCCAAAAGCCTAGCAAGTAGCAGAGTGTGGACTGCACCCCTGAGATACCTAGTCATCCACCCTCCCATCCAACTGTCCAAGGGCAGTCACCTCCTTCCTGAAGTCATTCAGCTGCTTAGTCCCACAGGTCACGGCGGCGGCGGCCGAAGGCTCTGGAGCCCACATAGGTTGGCACAAAGTTGTTCTTCACCACTGCCCCAGACCTGCTCAGCAAGGCTGCCAGCTTGTTGGTCACGCAGGTAGCAGTGTTGCAGGCTCTCTTCTGAGCAGTGATGCTGATTTACATGAAAAGGGTTTGCATCACTGTCCAAGAGGTCCTCACCTGCTCCTTAGGACACCTGTTCTTGCTATTTGAGACAGGGACCACCCACCATGCCCCGTGTTCGGCTATCCTAGGCTCCCCCTAGCCCTGTGACAACATGTGCATCTCCACAGATCCTACTCATGTAAAGGCTCCAGACCTACCTCAGACACTGCTCTACCTGACCCTACCCTCTGCAAGGCCTCTCTGGCGTGCCTTCCTGGGCAGGACTGGAAGAAAGGCATGCCCTGTTCTGGCAGGCGCTAACCGACCTGATGTCCTCGGTCTCCTGCTCCTGCTCCCGCTCCCGCTCCCGCTCCACATCACTCATCTTCTTCTGCACGTAGTCCTTCACCATGGCAGCCAGGATGAGGCACAGCTCGTCCTCTGCCTCCGAAGCAGGGTCGGGGCGGCTCTCCAGGACAGACCTGGGGAGGCAAGCAGACCCTGGAATTTTGTGGACTTTGTTTTATGCCCTGACCCGGAATCAGGAATTGATCAGCCATTTCCTGGATCCTAGGTGGACACTCAACCACTGACCCATGACCGGCGGGGCGAACTCATGTTAAATTTAATAACAACCACGTTATAGGCAGGTTTACAAATATACACCCCCTCTCCCCCAAAAGCAGTAAAACCCTTGTTAACTTTCAGCACACCACGGTTCAGACCACAGGATTGTGTGACCCCAGGGGCAGTGGGAGGGGGTATGCTGCTGGCAGGGCTCTCTTACCTGAATGGTGCTGCCTGGAGGACTCCTGCCTGGTACAGGACCAGGATGCCAAGAGCCAGGAAGGGCGAGTACTTCCAGAAGCCCATGATGCCTCTCTGCAAGAAAAACATGGTGTCACCCCCTACAGCAGTAAGACCCACCAAGCTTTGGTCTAGGACCGTCTTGGAGCACCCAGCAAAGAGACCCCTCCAAGAACCAAATGTAGCAGAATTTTTCATCGGAACCCAGGACTTAAACTGGCAAAAAAAAAGCACTCAGCCTCAGCCCGGGTCTTGCAGTTTAGAGCTGAGACCCTAGGTTTTTACGCCCGTTTGTCACCTACTCCGATCTCGCCCAGGTTGCCAACAGGTTTCCGGGCGTTCGCGAGGCGGGAAACGCAGCCATGAGCTCGCGGTCTGCAGACGGCGCTCCCGGTGCTGCTCGCAGCGCGGTCCCGGGAACCCGGGCGGGCACGTCCGCTGGACCGAGCGCGGCGCTGCGCGGAGACGGGGCAGCGAGTCCCCCCGGAGACCGTCCAGCGGGAGCCGGGAGGAGTTTGGGAAGAACCGCGGACCAACAGATTGTGTAACGCAGAGCCCCAGACAGAAGTGGACAGAGACTTTGAGACTGGCAGGGAGATGGACCGACAGAGAGCAGCGGAGAGAGAGGGAAGGGAGGAGACGGAGAGATGGACCCACAGCTGAGCTGGAGTCTCGGGCTCACCTGGCAGCAGGTACCTCCGGTGGCGGTGGCGGCAACGGTGGCGGCTTCCGTGTTTGTCCACGGCACTGTGGAAGTGGCAGTGACTCTCCAACTGGGAAGTCGCTCCGAAGCCTCGCAGCCCCGGCGGCTCCTCTTATTCCCCTGCTCTGGGTCTGGGGAGGGGGCCCAGGAGCTCCGGGCAGCCAATGAGAAGGAGGATCCGGTGCCTGGGGCGGATTGTGTCACCCACTTGCGTCCAGGACCTGTAGCATCCATCAGAATCATCCCGCTTGTATTTGCATTGAGGTCACTGATGGAAAGGAGAGGGGGGAGAGGTGGGGGCTAAAAAAAACACATCCATAAAGATAGCAGGATTTGGGGGACAGTTTGACGTCATTGTAAATTTCACCTGTTCAGTTCCATCAGGCTTTGAAGTGCACCCCACTCCATCCCCAGCTGCGCGGTCTTGTAGGGCGGGGTCCGGAAGGCAGAGACCCCTGGCTCCCCCAAGCCTGACCTTCAGCCCCATCCAAGTGAGGGTGAGAGGGTTAATGCTTCACAGGGTTGGTTCTGGGTCCCAGCAAGGTGTTTAATTCGGGCATCTGGAATCACCCACAGAGGAGGGCAGCTTGTGGGAACAAGAGATGGACGTGGGAGCGAGAACTTTGTCAGGCTGAACTCAATTCCGGCTGCGCCAATTCCTGGCGGTAGGATTATGGACAAGCGACTTCTAGGTGCCTCAGTGTAAAATTCACCCTTAACAAGGGTTTGAACTGTGTGGTGGATCCAATTATACTTGGTGCCCCCCCCTTTTTTTTATACGTCCAAATCTCTGTATTTATTTATTTATTTATTTATTTATTTATTTTATTGTTGAGAGTATTACAGATGTCCCCCAATTTCTCCCTTACCCACCTCCACCTATCTCCCACTCCACCCCACGCCTCCACCTGTCCATTGTCTGTGTCCATGGGCTATATAAGCTTCTAAGTTTTTTGGTTAATTTCTTCCTGCCCTCCTTCCTTTTTTCCTTCCTTCCTTCCTTCCTTCCTTCCTTCCTTCCTTCCTTCCTTCCTTCCTTCCT